TTTTCCCCCATCGTCTCTCGGGAGAATCCAAGACAATCCTGCTGCATTATAACTCTGCCCAAGGCGGGGAAGACCTGGAGGTGAACATGCGATTTCAACTGGGAAAAAACGCAAAGTTTTTTTTTCACGTTTCGAACACATCCTCTCATTTCCTTTGACCCCAATAAGAGACTCGTGGAGTAGACTGACATCATTACAAAATTCGACATGCGAAAACAGAAAGATCCTTGAGTTTTAGACTCATCTTAGATGGCTTGGCTAATAAAGATGCTATGGGGACAAATGCTAGGTCCCCTAAACCTAGTCTGGGGCCAAATCTAAGAACTGTTTATTCATGGTGATGTGGGCTAAATACTTTAGTGACATTGTCACCATCTTAATTTTTTCTTTATGGCCTTGCCTTTTGTTATTTGTTCATTCCCTGGAGGGTTAGGAAGAAACAGAAAAAGAAGATTAAAATCAAATTGGACAATCAGGTACTTTGTCAGTAACCTTGATAAAAGTTTGGATGAGACAAGTGATATTCATGGCTGCCCTTGACCTTCTTTTGGCTGTTTTTCAAGGTCACACACTGGTGACCTTGGAGAGTCATGACTGATTCCTTCCGTTGTGGATACAGAGATAAGTGCAGATAATGATGGACCCAGAGGAGAAAGGTACCACGACCTCTGCCGAGGACCAGAAGCAGGTTCCCACATAGGAACCGACTAGGTTATCAGCCAAAACTCTGAGACCCACAGTGACAGGCTGTATCCTGCCCCTTACCTCTTCCTGGAACGTGGCACATACCGAGCTGGGGATCTTTGGGAACGTGACTCAAAGCAATTGGAGGTGATAGAAGATTCTTTCAACATGCAGATGCTCAGCGAATACATGAGGAGGGAATCAAGTGAAAAATCTAGTCACCTTGTAGACATCTTACCTGTAAGATCCAGTGGCACCTCCCTTTCCACCCAGGGCAGAGCTAGGTATAGTTGAATGTTTGCTGAATCTTAGCAGAGGTTGAGGAGGACAGGAAGATCTGAGGAAAGAATATATAGCCTGTCTCCGCTCTCCTGTATTTTAAGCCCCTACCTCCTGGCCCCATTCCCTGTGCTTATTCCATTCTTTGTTCGAATAGAAGGAATCATGGGAAAGAGGAGAAGAAAGAGAAGGTCCAAGTGGAATGGGCCGGTATCCCCGCCACGCGGCAGACAGGGTCACAGGGACGCAGCCAGAGATCCTGACTGAATGGCCCACCTGACGCCCAGCTCTCTGCAGACTCTAAAGAAATTCGAAGATGTGACATGAACCAGAAGAAATGGGCTGTTTTGAATATTCTTCTGGATTCTGCACGTGCACGGGGCAGCTCGCGGTAATGTGCTGAGTTCCTTCTCCTTCCTTTGTTAATGGTGGCAAACTCAGGACACCCCAGAAAACCCTCTTAGGTTTTATTCAGCCCTTCGATTTTGCAGACCTTCGGGGAACATGCTCTCTGCCAGGCAAGATGGTGGTATCAAGGTTTCTAGCCTTAGAGGGCCTGTCACTAATGGGTAACCCTGACATGTATCAGGCCAGTTTCTACCCCAGGGGAGCAGGGTGGGCACCATTGTAGAGATGGGTTTGGGGAGAACAGAGAGGGTCATCCATTTTGTCTGTGGACCCAGGGAAGGAGGCTCCAAGGAGGAGACTCTTTAAGGGTCTAGCTCAGATGAAAAGATGAGCAGATCGCAGGCTGCAGGAACAATGCACGTCAAGACAGAGCAGCATCTATTCCTGGAAGTACTAGAAATCTGGCGTCTTATTTTTAAAACAAATATATACTAAAGTAGCACGTCTTACTTTGATTCATGCCTGCGTGCCAGCCTGTCTCCGCTCTCCTGTATTTTAAGTCCCTACCTCCTGCCCCCACTCCCTGTGCTTATTCCATTCTTTGTTCGAATAGGAAACGTGTTATGAAATAAATGACACTTGTCCCTTGGTGGCCCCCGCCCCTCTCATTATCCTTCCTGTCGTACTTTCAAGGCCTTGAACCATTTGTTCCTTTCCCTGCTTCACCAGACGAACTTGGGGCTTCTCTGTCTCTCGCTCGCACTGTCCAGCCATAATGCACTTCCCGCTGTCTCTCCGCTACGTGTGGCTCTTTCCGCCCCAGGACCTTCGCATTTGCTGTTCTTTTGTTTCTCCAACTTTTCACGTAGCAAATTCTTCTTCCTTCCGATTCCAATATGAAAGTTAGTTCCTCTGGGATAGGTAAGGTCCCCGCATCATATACTTTCATAATGCTCTAAACTGTTCATAGCCACTTACCACAATTGTAATTATCTGTTTGTTTAAATGGGACATGGCTGCTAGAATGTGACTCATTAGAGCGGAGCCTATGCCTACCTTGTTTCTTACTGTATGTTTGGAGCCTAGTATATTGCCTAGGACAGAGTAGGTGCTTAATAACTATTTGTTGCATGAATGAATGAATGAATGAATGAATGCTGTTTTCCTTTCCCTTTTCTACTCTGGCACCTCATTATGTCTTGTCATCTGACATCCACAAAGCTCAATCCGGAGATCTAATTAAACATAAAAGACACTGCAGACCAAGGTAAGACAAGAAAGGACTGCTCTGTCTTCATGAGCAAACCTTCCTTTCTCCTGCTCACGCCAAACCATAAGAGGCCCCTTATTTTGTTTTTTGAGGGGTAAGCATAACCAGATGGCAGCAGTGGAGGTAAGCACCTAGTGAGTAAACATGGCCACTTCTCCCTCTGACAATGTCATCTTGAACCAAACAGCTGGACAAGCCCGGACATCTTGGGTGAGAGGAGGGTGCTCCCCGACAGGCATCGGCACCTCCTGAGCTCACGTCCTGCTCTCCACTCCTGCCGCCCCCTAAGTTCTGGCCCCCTTCCTCTCGGCGA